TGAACTGTTTTTCTGTCATTAAAATTAAAATTGAGTCAATGTTGAGCCTTAAATCTGAGAAAATCCATAGCCTAACAAATAAGAGTGTCTTCCTCAATAAATTGGACAATCTTCAGTGAAAGACAGTTCATAACAAGTGCATGCTTATGTTTGTGTATTTAAGGTTTTCTTGAGGAAATAAACATGAATATGTCAAGAAATTAAAAATGTATTACTTTTATCTGGTATTTAACGCCTATGGTCTGCGCACAGACATGTGACTTTCTATCTCAAAATCAGTGATATGAAGGTCACCTTTGGTTATCAGCTTTATTTGATATTAATTTTAGTTTCAAAGACATGAAAAGTTTTATACCTGCATATTAGAACCACAAAATTTTACTAATGCATTTCATCTAAATCATGAACTCTAGGAGACCGTTATTAATAATTCCGAATTAAAGGTAAAAAAAGATAAGGGTAATGTTGTCCCTGTGCTTTGCTAATTAAGCACTATGCCATGAGGGGTATGGGGGAGTGGATGTATAGATCCACGTATCCTTGAACTCGGCACTAGCTGGAAGTGACTGGTCAGCTTCTCATGCCAGTCACTTTATCCCTGGGGAAAGAACCTCCCGGTACCTATTTGATAGTCTGGGTGGGCCCCAAAACTAGTCTGAATGATGTAGAGAAGAGAAAATTCTTGATCCTACCAGAACTCAAACTCTGGCCTCTTGGTTCCCTACTAATACTGAGTTAATGTTATTAAACAATCGGTGTGTGCTAGAGCAATCTGGGCATTATCAGCTTGTTATGCAGCACAGTGTAGGTTGCAGAGATGCTATAGATGACATGAAAGACCGAAAAGAAATATTTAAAATAAGTGTAAAATTTGCAGTCATTTATGATTACTCGGATTATGGACTTTGTCCATCCTCTAGTATTCTGAGCACAACGTTTCGACAGCTGGATCTGTCTCTATCCTCAGTAGAAAAGGTGGGGTGGCATGTAACGGAAAATGCTAGAGTGGTTCAGTAGTCCACTGAATCAGTCCATTGAATGAGAAAACATCATTGGTGGACCAAATGGAATACATGCCTCAACACGTTTTCACTAGAGGATGAAAACAAAGTTCTTTTGTATGTAATACTAAGATGATAGGCAAAGCCCAGGAACACAGTAATGCAAATTGTAATGTATCTATTTGTCATGGTCCTTTGGAACTAAGTTACATAATCATCACTCATCTGCTTTATGTCAATATGTGTAGAACATTAAGGTTATTAAATATTTTTCATAACTACTGACTTCCAAATGATCAATGTACATATCGGCCACTGTCATGTAAATATCTTAGTGACTTTTACAGTTCTGTTTCTGAAAAGAGACAAGCTCAGTGCATCAGGCACATCAGATTAAGTCCTCTAACTGCCCGAAGATGGCAGCAGAACAGGATTACAAACATTGTGTTCTTTCTTAATACAAACCCAGAAAACAGATAATGTACAGGGTAAAATAGCTGAATATGATATAAGTTCTTCAAAAATACTTGTAAATAAATACCGATTTAGTTACAAACTCATTAAGCTTCCTGAAATAACTCTAAAAATTAGTCATAAAGCTAAGTTTCACTACACCAACCATATTTTTAAAATTACAGAATTTAACTTGAAAGTTAATGTTCTGAACAGGCTTGTACATTCTTAACATGGCCACACATTTCTGCATATCCATGCATGACAGGTGAACCCTGCAGTGCAATGCATGTAGAAATAAATGAAGCTGTCGGCCATGTCAGCGTGTAAATACAGAATATGTAATGAATTTGTACTATGTTTCTTCATGAAAGTTAATATGGCAACATTATAAGCACTGCTCAACTCGGTAGTGACAGTAAATGAGCACTTTATATCATGCTTACACCTGTAAAGATTTCTGGGTCTTTTTAAATTTTATACAGATTTCAAATCATATGAATAATAAACTTAAATTTGATACCCATAAATCTGTTAATGTATTTTGAAGAGTAGCAGTAATATGTAGGAAAGGGAGCACTCTGATTGGTCACTACATTGTAAACTTGTCTGTTAATGGTTGATAGATAACTGTCAGCCAAAATGGATGCAAAGTTGGACTGCCATGTCAGTAGTTATTATTACCAACACAACATGGCTGACTGGAATAAAAACTGTCAAGAGAAGATGTACAGTACTCTTATATCAGTTATTTAAAATGTTACCTTCAAATTTGTGTTTATACTTGCCTTATTTCTATTGTCAAATTATAATTTATAGTGACTTTGTAATTGGCTGGCCTTTGTAATGGAGATGGAGTGTGCTTTCTATGAGGTAGAAACATAATTTTTGTACATTACTCAATGAAATTTAATGCTTCGAAGGGTTAAACATTTATTGCTCTAACACAAATTTGCATGTTTGCAACACACCAACCAACCAGCTTCACTTGGGACTTTGAAGTGTTTCAGACAGAGGGTGATGTATGTATTCAATCCAGTAATAGGAATGTTCCACTTCTTCCTGTACAGTGGTTGGGTGCCTACAATCTGTCCCAGGATTACATTAATCCTGTATCCCTTCTTCCTCTTTGAGCATATATGTATGATATTTTAAAGATTTTGTCTTCTTGCATTATGTTTACTTTTTAGCTTTAATTTAACTAATAATATTTTCTTTCATCACTGATCTTAGATTGTAGTCTCTTATCTCTTAATTTTGTGATCTGTCTCAAGATCAAGTGCTTGCATTTTATATTTGTGTCATGTGATATCCCTGGGCTCAACATGTCATGTTTGTGTTTAGATTGTTACACTCAAGTTGCTTTGAAGTATCTATTTATGGTTTTATTTTCTGGTTATGTTTTTGTTGTATTTGTTCTGTTTATACCTTTGTAGTTTCCACTTTAATAATCTCCACATAAGTGGCTTTTAGTTTTACAGCTTGTAGTAAGACAGCTCCCTATGCCATACATAATGTTGCTACCCCACATTACAGTGTTCATATAACATCAGCACGAGCACTGAGTACTTACTGTGAGTGTCATTTCACTATTTCATTCTACAGTACCACACACCTCACAACACTGTCTCATCCTGACATCTGCTATATATACTTGCATGCTAAATCCCCCAAAAATTACTCAGTTTCTCTCAAATAAAACTCATTCAAAATGTATTCACAAATATAACTGATGTCAGAACGTTGTGTCTGCTCATAAATTATTGTCAGTTAGGGACCTGATAAGGTTCAATATTATTGTCATTGTTTGAAATTTGATATCTGTTCATTCTTTAGAACAACATTTGCGCAGTAACCATGCATAAAAAATGCATATATGATTATAAAAATGATCTGTTTCAGCAACCACAGTAAACAAATTGTAACATCCTTCAACATAGCATGCAATTGCTTTCATCAAAGAATCCCACACTCTGCATTTGTTCTTGATACCAAACTGATTGCCTGACTTCAAGTCCATAACACTGAAGTGAGACACAGACATGTAAACAACTGCACTCAGAACATGGAAAGTAGTCCCATGGATGATGCTTCCCCTCTGGCATAAGGCAACCAGCCCAAAGAGCTTGTCACTAACTGAAGTCATCATGTGGTTATCACCACCAATTTTTGTGTGCAAACAGAATGACTAAATGACTGAAGGAGAATACAGGAAGTACACTGGAGGGGAGATGTAACAGTTTGCAAGAGGTATGGAGGGGTTGATCCATGGCATTTGTGTCTGTGGTCTCAGTATAGCTAGGGTTCTGTGATAGGAAGAAGTTATATTCTGAACCCAAAAATGTTCCTTGTTAAGGGGCTCACGTGTATAAGTCAGTGGATATGCATGCACCATAGCAGTTAGGTATGTACGAGACTGGTCAGAATTATTATGTAGATTTATATAAAAATATTTGTTTCAAATATGTTACAAGAAATTAGTTGAGAGTGTCCAAAACAAAAACAGTTCGCCTATTTGTGCATTTCAGTCTCCCATATTTAAACATAGAACTTTTCATCATATGATGATGACACAGTTCTCTAAATTTTGCAAGTAAAATGTTACTTTTTTTAATAACCCTATTAGCCTGCAGGACATCTGTGCACACTGTATGATTATACTGATATAGTCCTTCATCTGATCTATACAGAAATATAATAGAGGACACCCAAAGTCATTGTGAAATTTGCTCTTTATGCCTGCCATTAGGTATGGTAGCCACCACAGTTAAAGTGATATGCAAGTGTTGCAGTAGAGTGTTTGGTGCAGTTTGAATTCTCAGTCCTAATTTCTTTATTACATGACTAAAATTTAAGCTTTTTAATCTGATTATTGCTCCTTCTGTAAAGCTTTAACCAGTTATGTTGTGATATTGATAAAGGGAAGAATAGGTACCCCATCTTGCTTAGAGGCAACTGCTTCTGACCATGCTACGTTAAAAAGAATTCCATAAATCCATCAGTCTGCCCTATGGCTGATGTATTTATTTCATGTGATATGTCTCCAAGGAAGTGATGGGAGGTGGAATTTGAAGGACGTTTACAGAGGAGGTAATAATAAAATAAACACAAAAGAAAATTAAAATTAATATTAAATAAAATGTAACAAAATGTTATAAAAAGCATAATAAAATATTTCCAATATGATAAAACATAATAACTATATGGAATGGTGAACATGATATGTTACACTATTCAATAAAAATACCCAAGTACATTCTGCCTGAACACCAATAAACTAGTAAACATTATTATTTAAAGATAATATTTACCATATAAACTTCTGTTACTAATTAGGTACTTGAAACTGATTAAAAGCTAAGCAATGTATGTACATGCTAGGTTTGAATTTGCCACAGCAATAATTATGAAGAACACAGTCCTATGGGTTTTAACACTGCAGTTCAGAAGAAACCTGATGCTTCAGAGGAATGTGTCACCTCCATCTTCAGGGTCAAAGTGTAGGCCAAGTAAGAACCAGCCTGCTTCATGATGGTTTCTTGTTTGTCTTATTCTTCAGTCCTGAAGATAGAGGTGATATGTTCCTCTGAAGCATTTGGCTTTATCTTTACTACATTGTGGTATATCCCCAGAAGACCACAGTGTTTGAGTATATATATTTGTAACAATTCTTATGTCAAGGAGTTCAAAGGGGTATGCAAGTAAGGGGGGAAAAAAAAGCTTACATCTCTGAGTCAAAGCATCATGCCCTCAAGGCATAAAGAGAATCTCAGATCTTGGTAACAGCAAGGGACAAATGGTCAAGTGCAAACTTGGCTTGTATCCACGGGATGAGAATATTCTACATCTCACGGCAGTGGTCAAACCCAGGCCATCAATTTATAGCTCTTAGAACACATCTTTCACCAGTTACACATATATTCTTCTCTCTAATATTATATGTAGACACTTTAAGAACTTATATTTTATTTTGGAGAGTGTTAATAACCAGTTACCACTTCAAAAGATGTCTGTTAATATTAACTACAATACATTTTCTATCAGTTTCACCTGAACTAGCATACAAATACACTAGCTGTGTTCCTCTGCATTGTCATTTGGGCGAGTTCTGTTGTCCACATTCTTAGATAAGATTTTCTTTCTGTTCTAGTCTTCTAGGTCATGATGTCATGTAGTAGATAGTTACCAATATTTTAGAGGAATGTGATGCCACCATCTTCAAGGTTGAAGTGTGTTCTTCCAAAATATTGAACATACCAGGCAGCACTAACTATGTCATGATCCAGAAGACCACAACATGAATCTTCACACCTGTCATAACCTCAAACCTTAAGAACCTCCTGTTACTCAACAGTAATCAAGTTTATAAAAATAAATGATAAAAGCAACATAATGATAATGAATATAAAGCTCAAATACAAAATGTGATAAACACAAGCAACAAAACAATAAATTAATAAAAATGAAACAATACACATGAACTAAAATGGTATTGATATGGTATATTATTGCACATATTGTAGATTCTTTATGTTCCTGTAACATTCCTTTCAATATCTGCTGCATGTGCCCTTCCACAAACTGCCCATAGTGCCTTTAAGCCATAAAGAGCCCAATCTGTGAACACAGTAAGGTGTCAATTTGTCCCTTTACATTTCCAGCATATGGGCATCCTGAATATATTTCCAGGACAGTTAGTATGCCATTGCAGAATGCCTCATTACTGTTATAAACAGCACATAAATAGAATGTATAAACTATTGGTCTGGAAACCTGTTGGAAAGAGATCACTTGAGATCACTTTGCAGGCCTAGAAATAGATGGCAGGAAAATATTGAAATGGATCTTAATGATATAGGGAGTGATGGTATGGACTGGATTCAAGAATAGGCTCTAGCAATGGGCTGTTGTGAACAGGGCAATGAACGTTTAGGATCCACTGAAAGTGAGGACTTCCTTGACTAGCTGAGCAACTATCAGTTCCTCGAGAACTCTGCTCCATGCAGCTAGTTAATGGGTGGGGTGTGAGCACAATACTGCCAACACAGATCAAAATTGTCTCTTTGTTTGATCTCAGTATGAACAGTAATAAGCAGCACTCCTATTGCAGGGTTGCAGTTTACAGAAACCACCCTAAATTCCCTCAGTCCTACTCAGAGATATTCAAGGAGCAAAGTCTCAAAACGATTTCAGCACAAGAGCTTATTTCTAAACAAAGAGACTCTGAAAGCAAGGCAGTAAAAAAATAATGCTATAGGATCATAATGAATTACAATAGTTACATCTCTCCCATATTTGTTGGATATGTAAGCATGCACTAAGAGAGCCTGAACAATGCTTCCAACTGTTCTACTGTGGCTGCATCTGTGCTGGGACTTAACTGGCTTAGTTTCCAGCCATAATATAAATAAATTCTCTCAAATACAACATTTCACTTGTTATTGTCATCTGTCACATGTAGAGTCAGTTTGTGTTTCTTATTGTCTGCTCACAGTGAGAAGAAATGGACTGAACTGCAATTATGAATTAGCTTTAAAACAACAACAGTTCATGAAACCTGAAGGTGGCCAGTAGGAACTAGCTCGTACTCTTTGGTCAGTGAGTTTGTTATCTGAGCTCCGTGCTGCTCACAGCCAGTACTATAACACTAACCACCATCAGGCTGGGTTGCCTGTCCATCTAACAACATTAAAACTTTTCCAGCAGGCTCTTGACATAAATACTTTACTGTAACAAGGAGCACTTTAACAATGCGGTGCAGCAACTGCACACTTCACCTGACCAGACCAGTCACCACTGCAGTAAAGAGGGAGAGAGCTGCGCTCAGGACTGCCATATCTGCAGCACTGGCGCCATTTCGCTGGGAGCGGTACCCCATGTCCACAACATGGATCTTCCAGCCCAGGTTATTGTGCGTGTAACACTGTAAGAGGTGGTGTGTCAACATGATACAAAGAACTGCCACAACAAGAATCTATAGACAGACTCTAAAGATAATTATCATGCAAAAGAAATTGATGAATAACACAAGAAGATGGTATGGACACATTTTAGCAATGAACAAAGAAAAAGTCAACGAGAATATTTTGAAGATGAACATAAAAGGAAAACGCCCAAGACAAAAGTTGAGATAAAGATGGAAACAACAGATTAGCAAAGATGTCATGCAGAAGAAAGGAACAACATGAGAGGAAACTGAGGATAACAAAGACGGAGGGAGATTTCTTGGTTGCTAGGTGATCCACACACAGTGGAAACATGAGGAGGAAGAAGTACAATGTACAGTAAACCTCAGAGTGATGTGTCCAAGAAATTCAGGCACCAAGTTCCTATGAAATGTAGGTAACCCTTTACAAAACCGCATATGCTATAATCCAGAGACAGGAGTCTTAATGGTACACATTTTTTAAACAACTGTTATATTAAGTACAGTTTGGCAACTGAAACCCTGTGTGTAAAACTTTCAAATTCACATACAGTTTTTTCTTCCTTGGCACTACAGCCCCAGTGGGCCTAGGCCTACCTCCATGAACTTCTCCGTTCACTTCGGTTTTTCTAGATCTTACACATTCGGTTGGACTCCTTGGGTGAGTGATCAGCTCATCACAAGGCCTCTACCTGTACACAAACACAGAAAGCGCACACACACGAACTAAACATCCATGCCGAGTGGGATTCGAACCCATGATCCCGGTTTCCAAGCAAGTGAAGACAGTACATGCCTTAGACCGCTTGGCTACCGTGACTGGCCTCACATATAACATTCATTATTGCAGGGATGCAGTGTTACTCTGACCTCAACTCTGTCTGAACAGGGTAACTGTAGTACCCCTCTCCCTACCCTTATTTGTGCTTAATTAAACACCATGTTAACACTTATTTTGCAGTGCAGGTATAGTTCCAGGCATTATTAATCTTAACACAAAGTGGAACTGAGTGATTAGCTTCACATCCCAGCCACTTTACCTCTGGGAGACAAGGTCCCAGAATCTATCGACGGGGGCCAGAGTGGGCCTCAAAGCCAGTAGTTTGACTAAAAAGGATGAATAAAATTGAACTGAATTGATGCCACACCCACCTGATAGTACAAAAGATCTGGTGTTTCTGGTGCTACAGTCCAGTTGAGGTAGGCAGGCTCACCATTATCGCACACCAGTCGCAATGTGCTCAGGTATTCAAGAAACGTCTCCATTTCTGCTGAGCGGTCAACAGTTGTGTGCGCCCATTCACAATACCGACCAGCTGAGCAGGCAAACAAACAAATAATGTGACAGGTTACCACAGCATTGCATCAAACTACATGGTAAGGTTAAAGTGAATTGCAAATTAACAATTACACACTCTGATGCCTGAGTTCCATGCATACTTTTGCATAACAGAGATTTCAACTATTTCAAATTTGACAGACATAACCTCAGAGTCTTTCAACTTAACCATGTTTATATGTTTATATTGTCAACACATAAAAGAATGTGTCTTACAGAACTTATAGGTCTGTACTAAATTTCACGTGCCTAACTCCAATACTTTATTAGTTATCACAAATACAACTGAACTCCCATTTCAAGGATCTTATTTCCGGTGAGTTATGTGAGGCTAGTCCTATTCTAGCCACAGCAAAGGTTGATAAAGAAACTGGCAAGGAATACATGATGTGAAATGTATCCATAGCATAATGTCTGTGGCCAGTTCATTCACTTCTGCTTCAGTGGCTCAAAAAGATAAGACTTACAGAAAAATTGTATTGAAAATAATATGTGTTTCAGGTCTCTGTATAACTTTTGCACAAAACGTTTTTCACTCCAACAAATTTTTAGGAAGTTCCACTTGAGATGATCATAGATATGCGTATAGGTCCACTATTGTTGTCCAATTTTAACCAAACTAAAATTTTTATACAAATTTTAGTTAAACCCCTATGTTAAATTTAATGAAAATCCACTCACTACTAAGCTGTTAAATGCAACCAGACAGATATACATGGTGAAAGTGTTTGCAACTTGTGCTGCAATGCACCAGTAGGTTCATAGGAAAACGGAGAGTAGAAAGAAGAGTGCAAAAAAACATTCACTTCCATGCAGTTTTGTGGGGATGTTACTAATGTAAGTTGTTTGTTTAACTGACATCACTCTTCACAGTACAAGAAACTGTTAAGATTCTGTTACTGTATTGACAGATAATTCTGTGATGAAAAGAGAATTTGCCTGCTGACACCACATGCATTTATATTCTCCAAATAACATGTGACACCCATTTAATTATCCTAGGTTCAATTCTCATTCAGAATATCCAGAGATGATGAGCTGTTATTTGCTGGATGTCTCCATTTATACCTCCACTGATTCTGTGCAACAACTTCCACTGCTGATTCACATATCAATAATAAATCACTGACCATAACAAATGAGTGGTTAACAGTCCTGCCTCATATTACAGAGGTCCCACTTTAAAATCTTGCACTGGAAACCAACTATCTTAATTCAGGTTTCTGTGATTTTTCCTCAGTTCCTCCAGGAAATTATTAGGATAGTACCTCTAATATTGCCATGACTGCTTCCTTGTGTCTTTCTAATTCCCTGTTCATCTTACCATCCAACACTGTACAGTCTGAGCTACTAACAATATTGCTGTGGTTGTACCATAACATAGATAGTCACCGACTTCTCAATACGGAAGCCTGGGTTCGATCCCAGGGCAGTTCATGTGGACTTTTGGTGGACAAAGTGGCAATAAGGTAGACTTACTTCAGTTTCCTCTGCCAATTCTCATTCTACCAAATGCTTAATTTCTTTCATGTATCATCCATGCCTGGAACAATGGGCCTATGGACCAAGGGACAGTCTCACCCTCACCCCACATTCAGAACAAGAGGAGTGAGTGAGTGCACAAATAATAACCACACGGCACAAAAATAACTTTGCGTACACAAAATTCTAATGAAATTCCACACGTTACAGACACAGGGGTGCATCCAAGGGACCTACACATGTAATAGAAGAAACACAGAAAGCAGCATTGGATATATTCTAACAGCTGATGATGGCCATATTGGCCGAAACATGTTATGACTTTTAAATTTTAAGTTTAAACCTTAGAACTTTTAAACTTTAAAGTTAATAAATAGTTTAACATATGACCATGAAATAAGATTTACAATAAAAAAGAATAAGAAAGACAAAGCCACTGAATAAACAAACAATTATACTATTATTATAGGAATACTATTGTTATAAATAAGAATTTTGAAATTTGACTGTATTGAAAGTATTGAAATTTCTGATTTTACAACTGTAAATTTTGATTATTTTGATTGTAAGATGTCAACTTTATGTTTTTAAATGTACTATTTTGTGTATAAATATTGTGGCTATCTTGCATGTTTTTTTAATCTGTCCAATCATGTATAAGAAAAGTTATTGTCTTGACTGGTTTCAATCGTTTTTGAGACTATGCATGTATGGGACACGTTCCACATCCAATGGCATTTTAGCCTCGCTGGATCTATGGAACTGGAAATAAATCTATATAAATAAAAATGTAAATTCACCTGCTGTGGGATATGGGTACCCTTCTGCATCATATCGTACACCTGCGAACACACGCTGCTTCTTCTGCTCGGCTTCAGACTTCTGGCCAAAACCACCCTCACTGCTGTCTGTTATGTAGAAAGGATGATACCGTGCAGGATTGGTTCGGTCATTTCCACCTTCCACTATGAACGTGTAGGTCTGTCCTCGTTCTACATATATTTCTGGGATCAGCATATCGTTAATGTACCAAGCAATCCCCCAAGATGGTTGGCCTATTAGAAAGAAATTTTAATCTGATTTATTTGTAACCAACATCACCAATCAGGTCTTTCTGCTGCTGTTTTTGTTGTTCATGTCCACACCTCGAGGAATAATTATAAGAAAATCATCAGGTACACTAAAAGTTAAATGGAAAATTAGCTCAACAATGTATATATATTTTATAAATCAAGGTATTACAAAGTGTTTCTACTCTTTTCCTGTTTAGGGAAATAATCGCTGTTTATGGTGAGAATCATATAAAAGATATGAACACACTGTGTGGGCAAACTGCAGAGTTATGAATGCTAAAAAGAAGTAGTCAGCCACCCTGTTAGAGGCTGAGTCAACCCCAGGGCCGTAGTGCAGCTGGAAGGATTAGGTCAATTGAAAAAATCCAATGACCTCATCGGGACTTGAACCTGCGACCTTCCGGCTTGTAGCATAGTGCCTCAACCAACTATGCTACCGCTTGACCCTATGAATGCAAAAGCAGGCGGTATATATGGTTACCACTGTGCTTTATGGAGGTAACATGCTGTACCTGCTGATAACTTGTTTAATTCAGTCTACTTGATCCATGATACAGCAAATAATTCTGTTTCCTACTTTACTGTCTGCAAAATCAAACTTTGCCTGTGATTGGTGTGTAGCCCCTCTTCCCCCCTGTAGGTCCAATGCGAGCTGAGAATACAGTCTCTCCTGTAATGATTGCAGATGGCCAAGGCTTCAGTTCATCTTCATCCGGAAGATCAAAGAGTGACATGGTACATGCATGGTCACTCTTGCTGCTAAAGTCAATACGAATATCATCTGTAAAAGAGCAAATACAGCATTTCTGTCAAGCACACACTATATTCTAAAAACATAATCCTGTCAGTAACAGTGAAAATTCATATGAACATTTTAGATTTTGCACAAAATACCTGCCTGCCCATCCTGCCACCATTAGCCCCATCTCTGAGAGGACTCGTAGGATTTCCAATAAGACCATGGTCATTATGCAGATTTATGATTCATGACTAACAGTAGCATGATTCATGTAATGTAGTGATAAATCTTCAATAAATATTAAACTTTCTGTGTGTCTATTTTTGTATAAAATTTGAAAGAAATAATGAAGGCTATGTCATTATTACAATTAATGCCATCAAAGCTAGGCATATCGAATTCTTTATGATGCCAGAGCATAAATACATTGACCACTTTTATATAAAACCTTCTCATGTTAAATATTAGCACAGCAAAAGTGTGAATCTTTGAGGTTAGGTTTGACTACTTGAGCAAATGTCTAAGCCAGTAAACTAAACACAAAATAACAATACAATTTAGTGATCTACTTAAATATAAACATTTCCTCTGGCATCTTTATAGGTGGTGGAGGTGGTGGCTGTTGTTGTTGTTGTCATCATTGTTGCAGTCATTTATAGATTATTTAATGTTCAATAATTCAGACTCTGTAGTGATGGGATGGTAATGAATAATGAACTGGAAAGAATGCGGTCATAAGGTACCATTCCTAGATTTTGCATGGATGACTAAGCCATGAAGAGCCAAAGTCTGAACAGTAATTGTCCTAGCTGAGACACAATCTTGACATTTCCAGAATATAAGTTAGAACAACTACCACTTAAGCCAACTTGCTCAGTGCTTCTCTGTAGCCTACATGTTTGAGATGTAAAGGACAGCAGACATCACTGATACTCTCACCTTCACATTTTTTCAAGCATTCAATTACCCTTCAGACCAGATTCCTGTTTTCAAATTCTGAAATCAGTATCAGTGGTTTCAATATTTATCTTGTTAGTGTCTCTGCCTAGATGAAAAGGTTTCTTACCTCTTCAGCTTATATTCTTTGAACAGCTGTGAAATTCAAATGTTCAAAGAACATGTAACGAAAGAGCACAAATTAGAAACAAGAATATTCAGGATATCTCCTCTAGACTCATGAGAAGAGAGATTGTTTGTTGAGAGTTGAGCACTAATGAGAATTTTACATACTTTATCCGTTATGATGGACAAACTAACAATTACTGTCCATGCATGTATTCCAACTGACCAGTTGTTTTTGCAGTGCTGATACCATTAGCACCACATTGACGTGGACTTGCCGGCCACACAGAACCAGTGAATTTAAAATGCCCGGCTGCAAGACAATAAAGGTGCTCTTACCAGCTGTTCTGTCAGGAGTGGCATGGGCATTTGCTTCCTTTCGGCTGTTGAGAGGTCCTATAGCAGCTATGACACTCACTTCTACATCAGTGGGAATGGCTCGGTCATTGATTGGTTCATTGGTCTGAAGCGGTCGCCTGTACACAATCGTAGTCACGCCATTCTTTCGTTCTCCAGACACCAAAACTGCATCATTGCGCCCACCAAGACGCTCATCCGGACATACGCCACTCTTCCCATCGCACTGCAGGAAGCAAGGTACCAGTTAATATGAACTCAGCTACAATACAAGAGAAAGAAACATCAGTGTATAGTAATAAGTGTTGAATTTATCAGTTCACAGATGATTTAACAAAACTGTCCTGGGGCAGCCTCTAATGGTTTATTGTCCAGACCGATTTTCATCAAAATCCATCCAATAGTTCTTCTGTGTATAAACAGAGAGACAGATATGGCAAGCCCTATGTACATGTACACTGTACAAAGAATGCATAATAATGTACTGTAAAGGGTGAGGAAGAAAGTAACCACAGCCTGTGCTTAGGCACTGTGCTGTTATTTGCTTCATATGGGTGACAATATTATTCTACAATGCATGTTCTTCCTTTAGAGAAGCAGACTGAGTAAGTTACACACTGATACAAGACAATGTGTAAGACCATATTTTTGTGTCACAGATTATACAGTGATTTGCATAAGAAATATTAAACCTGAGCTGTGGCTGTCATGTAGTAGTCCTCGACACGGAATGTGCCTCGCTCACTGTCATAGAATGCCACAACGACATCTCCACCAATCATGTAGGAGCGCCCCTGCTCTCCACTGAGGCCGAATGCCATGTACTGGTCCTCTCTCATTCGAGCAGCCAGCTGAATCTGTACCATGTCACCCTGCAACTCCCACTGCACCTGCAGACGCTCATTCAGCAGCTGCCGACAGTTGAGGGACCGCTCTGCTGCTGGATCTGATGTCGTACTGCTCGTCTGCACAGTAACGATGGCAGAACGTTCATGTAAAGATGTGCCAGCCAATTTGAACCATAAATAAGGTAGGGACAGACACATATACACACAGCGCTGCTTCTTTCCCTTCAAGGAAAGAAACGGGATAAAGATGCCACAATTACCAATTTTATCATTGAAATATATATGCTGGGAAATAAAATTCGCATTTTTACATATATTTTATAGAAGGAACATCTGATTTATTCATTTTCATATTATGCAAGTGGAATGTAAAAACCACTGATATCAGGGTACATTTGTACTTTGAGGGAAGGTTATTGTACAATGCTACTAGTAGCTCGACTGCACGGTGTCAAATGGCATGATGACTGATGAAATGGGAAGGATTTGGAAGGAAGCAGTCCTGGCCTAATTGAAGTAGTATACTATCATTTTCCTTGGAGGAACTGATGAAAACCACAAAAAACCTTAGTCATGGTTTCTGGTGTCCTAGTCCAAATTCGAACCAAGCACCTCCCAATACTGCTACACCAACCTTTCAAATGCACCGTGGCTGACAGGAATGGACTCAGTGGTTGTTTGTCGGTATACTGTAAGTTACATTCCCTGAACTCAACCGACCAACTGACCAACTGTGCCACCACGGTAGTATAGTTGGTTGAGGCACTTACTACAAAGCAGGCGGTCGTGGGTTCGATTCCCGATGAGGTCAATGGATTTCTCACTTGACCTTATCCTTCCAGCCGCACTATGGCCCTGGAGTCAACTCAAACTCTAACAGAAACGAGTACCAGGAATCTTCCTGGGGGTAAAGGGCAGCCGGTGCATAAGGCTGACATCACCGCTATCTGTGAGCCGATTGTCTAGAAAATGTGGGGAGCCTCGATGTCTCACAACCCTAGGGACCTCCACGGCCTGTTACAGGGATAGCTTTACCTTTTACAATCCCTGCACTATCAACACAATTTGCTGGTAAGATCAGAGAGGCATACTTCACATCATGACTGCAACACTGCTGTCACAAGAGCAACAGTCTTCTGCACAAGCAGAGCAGACCAGAGGTACAAGCTGTGAGGCAGAGTGTACAATATTATCACAGCAATGCATATAAAGTTACTTACTTATTTCCTTGACTTTGCAGACCTCTAGAACTTTGACCTCCTTTGATATGCATGCCAATTTTTATATCTAATTTGCCTCTTGCTTCCATCTCCTCAATGTCAGCTCCCATAAATCATTCTCTGTATGTTCCAGCCATCTAATTATGCACATTCCCATTTATCTTCTATTTCTAAAAATTTCCCAATCCACCCTTATTTGATCAATTTTAATCACATTCCCCAACCACTCCAAAATTCTCCCTTCAATATCCACTACCAGATCAGCGGTTTCACATAATTCCCTCTGTCTTTGCTTAGTTCTGATTCTCAAAAGCCGTTCATCAGTTAATTGCTCCACACGTCTTCCTCAAGAAGTTCATCTCCCATGTATTTAATATAACTTTATCCTTTCCAGTCATGTACCATATTTCACATCCATGCATTGCAGCTGGTTATGATGTTGTTTTATATATGTTAGCTTTCGGTATTCTGGTCACAGTTCTGGGCAACAGCACCCACTGTATGCAGAGATTCTAATTTCTAATTTTCTCACTAATTTCATTTTTCCTCATTATTAAGGCACCTATGTAAGTACTAAGAGATAAACATACTTAAGCACACTTAAATCTAGTTGACTGTACTTACAGGGTTATACCACCAGGGCGGCTGCCAGCACCCATTGAAAAGCATGCAAGAAATATACACAGTGAAAGTTACATCAGTACTGCTATACAGCAGAAAGAAACCTAATTATAATAAGTAATGGAAGTTCACTGGTGTTTCAAAGGTACATACTGCCTCCTTCATCAGGATCAGAGATATGTGAAGCTGAGGTAGAGTGCTGCTTCCTTCTTGCTCATTACTTGCTTTGTTATGTCTTGTAACATAAAGAGGTGGGCAGTAAGTTCCTTCAAAACATGATTCGACTTCAACTTCTATCAGCCTACCCATCATCGCATCTCAGAAGGCAGTAATCACCACTTTGAGGATCTCAAACACAAAACGTTCTTGCAGTGATAATGCTTCCATTGTGACAGCATTATAGAACGGTCTTGCAATGTGAAAGGTTTTGGCAGAAAGTAGAACATATAAAACTCCACAACTCCTAAGGGTGTAAATGACATTGCTTATTCTCTGTTAGCCTCTTAGCAAATGGGTGTATTGTTAACCTATTGCTGACTAACACTGTCTCCGAGATGTGGTAGGCACTCCAGATCATGTCTCTGAGACGTTTAGAATGAAGTTCACACTTAGATTACACTGGTATTTCAACTTGTCATCAACAGATGGCACCCTAATGCTCTTTAGTGTCTTTCTTCTGCCAAAAAACGTACTTCATTTATTGATAAACACTAAAGAAGGTGACAATGCAACAGCAGGGACTTGATGCCATTTAACCCTTTTGCTGACAAGCTTCATCACAGAACTTTGCACTGGAAATGCCAAGGTTGTTCAGATATAAATGCAGTTACACAGGAAAGTCCATATTACTTCCTGAAATGATCACTGCTAGAGATAATATGAGAGCCTGTTCTTTCATCTTTTGGTATGTCACACTTGATATGACTTCCTGACAAAAATGCTGCACTAACTGATAAACAACAACCGATCTCTTCGGCTGTGGCCGTAAGTACCTTGAGCTGATCTGATCAGCTTGTGACATGCAGCGGGTTAGATGTAGCCACAAGGGGAGGCCAGATGTCCTCAGTGGTATGAGAAGTTGGTAAACCAAAGTATCTGCCATGCTTACAGTGATTTTGGTCTGCCCCATTGCAGGCGGCACATCAAGATCCTTTGGTATGAGCACGTGACCGAAGTTATGTCTATACTGCACACACCACACGGCCAGCCAGTCAATGTCGTATACCGTGAGATTCCCTGGAAGCTGAATCTCTATGTCCTCTCCCTGGTATCCGCGCAGTGGGTCCAAACTGGAACAAGCAGGCAGAGAGGAGCTCCACTTTTGCACAGAGTTAACAATATAAAGGCCTGACGGTGAGGTCATGTCAATCTACAGATTCATTGTCAAAACTATGAAACTTAAAACGCCACACTTTTTAAAGAGTGGTAGGGTGAGCTGGACAGAGTTTATTTAAATGTCTGCTGCTGTTGGGCATTTTAAATAATTTTAAGCACTTTCTTAAAAATGTTGTGTCTAATATAATTTTTTTTAAAAAAGGAATGGAATTAACTTTGTTTCCATCAGCAAAGAACATAATGTCACATAACATAAGATTTGAAAATGTTTAGGCAGAATAGTTACACTTTTTTTTTTTGTAATTTGATGTGTACTGTACAAAAGAGTGTCGTGTTTCTTCACAAAGTGGTTCTGCATTATAAAGTCATTAAAGTTCACATCTTTGCTACACTCTTCAGATCTGAAACTGAAAATTATGGGATTACAGAAGAGACTGGAGAGAGAATTCTTTGTTTCATACATCAGTCCCAAGCCGGTTCTATGGTCGCAAACAGACGTTTGCACCATAGCTGAGATAAATAGCGCATTCAGTTTGCTGTGAGTTCACAGTGAATTCGAATATCGCAGTTTAATTTCATCATACAATGGCAGTGAAATGACGAAATGGAAAGGGAGCTGAAGTGTGAGATGTGTGACGCGGGATTGTGCATTCTCAGGAGCTTCGAGGAGACCATACAAAGGCGCGATTCGGTTAGATGGGGGGGGGGCTATATATATATATCAAAAAGGTAACAAAGGTATGTATGTAAAATTTGAGGTTTTGACAGCGGCGACTACGAAGAAAGCCGTCTTCTGGTATGTGGCGCCGTGTAGAAATTGTGTTAACCGACGTTTCGGAGGAAGGTATCGCCTCCATTTTCAGGGTAGAAGACAGACTGTTGCACCTGCTCTAGCTGGTTCGCTCGCGGATTTCTTCTTGTTTTCTACCCTGAAGATGGAGGCGATACGTTCCTCCGAAACGACCACATCCAAGAAGACGGCTTTCTTCAAAGGTATATAAGTATATTGAATTTTATTATATTTAACACTAATTATATAGAATTGTGCGTGCACTTCTATTAGCGGCGTTTGAATGCACGAATACGCGTGCTTCAGCCACGGCGACTGCACTCTTCAGTGTATCGATACGAGCATTTCGGATGTTCAGGGCTAAAATCGGGTTTCAGGCAAAGTTATATTAAGCACGCGTCCTGGAACTTATTTTACGAATGTGATTTTAATTCCGACCGCCTCTGTGATCTAGTGGTCAGGGTTCCTGGCTATAGTTCCAGAGGTCCCGGGTTCGATTACGGCGCTACCAGATTTTCTGAGAAGTAGTGGGTCTGGAACTGGGTCCACTCAGCCTCGTGAGGATAACTGAGGAGCTACTTGAATGGAAAAGTAGCGCCTCCGGTCTAGAAAACCGAAATTAACAGCCGTGGGGATTCGTTGCGCTGACCACGTGACATCCTCTAGCTGCTAAAGTTGGCACTAAACTTCGCCGACAAGCGGCCGTCGTTCGGTCGGTATAGTTCGCTTGCGGACTAAAGCCTCGGAGTTTGTTTTTGTTTTCATTTTAATTATATTTTGCACGAAGCTGGAACCAAATTATATAAAGTTCCATTGAAGCAGCGAGCTCACCCAGAGCACATAAACACAGCCCAACTTGCAGAAGCCCCTCCCGATCCTGACTCCAGGCAGATGTCTCCTGGAAACCCGACAGGAAGACCGCAGCAACACTGACGTTCATGGTGAAAACTGGTAACACTGTACTCACCTACCCATCTCACTGGGCACCTTGATGCCCAGGGGACTGGGTTCTGTGCCATTACCAACCCAGAAGTATGCATCCGGTCCAGCTCCATCATAGTGTAGGTTGGGAATGTAGAATGTCTTGGCATCCAGCACGCTGATGTTGCCTGATCTCAGCCCATGTGCTAGCCTCTTGAACTCAGGCAACACCCGCGGCTTGGGAACCTCCAAGTTGTTCGGGATGAAGACGTCCCCGAAGTTGACCTGCAACACAAGTGACGGCCGTTTCCTTACTCCTGGGCCATCAGCCATGGCAGTAACTATCAAGGTTACGGTCTCCTGGGATGTGACTCCGTGCAGTTTTGCACATAAATAACATTTCAGAGGAATCTACTGCCTGCATTGTCGCTTCTGTACCCACGTGCTTCTGCTTACTTGGCTAATTCTTCGACCCTGAAGATGGAGGCATCAGACTACACGACGTCACATCCCAGAAGACTGTACTCCTTATTTCAGTTGTGTACACTCACAGCGGATACTCATAGAGTCGTTAAATAGCCAACAAACTCACACGGACGTTGCGAGAGTTGACTCCTGTGGTTCGCTATCCCAGCTGTTACCACAAATACACGTATCAAGAAAGCATATCAACGTTCTTCGTATTTCTATAGCTGGCCCCTACGCTACGCCTGAGGCACTGGTTGCAATTCCAATGTGGGAGGAAGGGAAGGTGACGCATTGCAATTAGACACCTGTTATAAACAAGAGTCGCCCTGCAATCCTTGTCCCAGTGGACTAGAACAAATCCACGCAGCATTCCACTGAATGCGATCGGGTCTAGAAGTACGGACAGAGTATATGGGAGCAGAGCCAACTGTCGAAACGTCGTCCATGTCATGTATGCCTGAGGCAAAGACAGCGCCGCAGTGCTGAGGAAACATTTAGAGAATCGGTCCCCAGGACGTGCTGCCATCTGTGAACGCCGCTTTCGTGAGATGAAAGTACAAAAAACTACGTATATTTTTTCTGCTGGTTTGTATGCGTGTAAAACCTGGTCTCTCATGTTAAGGAAAGAGCATACGCTGAGAGGACATCTGGACGGAATAGACAGAGCGGAAGTAACAGGAGGATAGACACAATTACACAGTGAGGAGCTTCATACCTGTCAGACCTGTTTGGACGATCAATGAGGTAATACGCTCTCGTCGGAAGACACGTGGAATACATACAAAAATTTGATCGAGAAACTAGAATGGAAGATACTATTTACGAGACCTAGGCGTAGATGGGAGAAAAATATTAAAACAGACCTGAAAGAATACGGTGGAAGAGAGCGGACTGGATTCATCTGGCTCAAGATAGGATCCAGTGGCCGACTCTTGTGAACACTGCAACGAACATTCGGTTCCGTAAAACGCGAATAATTTTTTGACTGACTAGACAACTGTCAGCTTCTCATTGAGGATTCTAATTCATGGAATTCGTTAGTTATGTTCCTCTGTGTAAGCACTACAAAACGAATGCGTGCATGGGGGCGGGAGGTGAGGCTCCACGTATTTTCAACTTTGATAATAGATGTAGAAGAGTAATTAGTTGTACGCTCCGTCCGGTTTGTCCCCTAAGAATGAGCCAGGGAAGCTCTGAAGTTCGTACTTCTTGTAAATAGGTCTGTCTGGGAGCCCTCGGGGGCTGCCTTGTCGTTACAAAGTTACTCCGTTCTATTCTCAACATCCGATGCGAATCAAAATCCCCACAGCGGAGATCTCCTTCAACACAGAAGAGTTTTCCCCACCCCATAAGTTTGCCTACTCGCGGTGTGACATACCCGAAGAAGAACAAGAAGACCCCAGGGGTGGAATAGTGAAAGAGACTAGATTAAGGGGGGGGGGAGAAAAATATTCCTGCTTTGAAGGTCCCAGGCAGTGCCCGCTCGTCCCTCCGGCAGAAGTACGTTTTGATGGAAGGTAAAGCGTTAGGAAGTGGACTTCGTTATGAACAGAGAAAGCGTGAGATTTTGATTTTACATTGGGATGAAATGTTTATATAAATATTTGGGGAATGAGGCTGCATGTGAAGCACGCAGTGCAACGTGGAATTTCGGTCCCAACACAGCATTTGCTCCAGGACCGAGGAAAACCGCTGTGTGGGCAGAATGCAGAGCTCTGAACATTACAGCGGTTGGCGCAGCGCACACAGCAGCCACTGTGCTCTCACGGGCTAAATTAAGCGTTCATCTCACTTGCATGGGGGCCAAAGAAAATGGGTCGCCCCGGATTTTAATCATGCGCTTTCACCGCAACGAATAAATGTCCCGGAAGAGACGCTAAAGACCACAGTCAAAGGGAAAGCAATTCGAATCTGAATATGGCAGGACGGCGTACGGAAATATGGCCGCCGGCGTGTGTCGAATTCTGCACAGATGGGAAGGACTGCGATTGTTTGAGGGCAGGTGTGCATGTGGGGGTAAGGATTAGATCCTTGCCTGCGCAGAAGAAGATGCGCAACTACACACGAAAATATTTGTCTGTGTGCTGGCTTGGCTTCCAGTCTGTGCCGGCAGAGAAAATGGGCATTATTGGGGTGTTTCAACCCAGTACAGTGGATTATGATAATTGCAACAATGAAAGGATATTAACCCTCTTCATGCCGACTTGTTACGTAACAATAAGACGTGCTTTTATGGTGAGCATAGCGGTGCAGCTTACAGCCCGAATTTTGAATTGAGAACATATGAGATATCCTTCCTGCTGTCAATCCCAAAATTCTGGGCCATACATCTCGTTTACAAATTGGAAAGGGTTAAACCCGAGACTGAATACGCTGGTTAATAGGCAGTATTGGAAAGCGCGGATCATTATAATATTAAACCAGATTTCAGTAGACAGACGGGCGATTTTCGGCTGTGCTACCATCCCCACTCTATCTTTGTACTTATGTGCCGGCTTCGGTAGATCACTTGACTCCTGTCAGGATCGTGTTACGGTAATAACTGAAGCAACCGGAAACTGCACACTTGAAATCAGTCCACTGCTCGAAATCAACAACACAACTTCCGCTGTCCAGAAACTGTTTATTTATCCTGCTGGAGCGTCGCTTTATGCCCCGAGAAGGATTTGAACCGACGGCCTCTCTCCCAGATAATAATTCGTTTCCTACTTGCTGATTTTAACTAGCCAAATTCCTCCTGCTATCCGCATAACGAACTTTGAGAATAAAACAGATCCCAAGATACAGAACTCGGAACCCCAGATGTGTGAGCGTCTATTTTCTTTAGTTTAGGGTCCAGCTACTCCCTTCTGAAGACACTTTATGACAGCTACACATTTCAACAAAGCAAAATTCACATCTTCGGAAAACTACAGACTTGCCTCCCGTGGTGACCCTGTCCCCTTCCGGCCGTCCAAACTGCATGTAAACAAAAACAAGACAGTTGTTTTCTGTTCAGATACGAAGAACAAGTCATAACCTGCTAATAAATCCGTCTGTCTCGCCAATAAACCAGTCGCCCTTCCGAAATGGCTAAAGAAGACCTTAACGTCCATGGAGAACTGTAACAGGTTTGGATGGTCACAGCTGGCAGAGCTTTGCTTCGCTTCTATCAAGCAGTTCTGCCAAAATCCTAATCCTAAAGTATCCGCAGTAAAACACACAACCCGCTAATGCCAGAGCCTGCTGATAGTCACGGCCTTGAGCCAGTTTCAGCCTCCTGCCTCCCTTCTGATCAGTCTCCAAGAAATCATGTCACTCCCAGCTCCGTACTAATTTCCTTCAGATTTCCAGGTGCACGTCTTCTTCGTCATTTTAAACTCACGAAACAGCCAACGGGGAGTTTTCTACGTAATGTTGAAACCTGATGTAAATGCTTTCATTTGAATCTCTGGTCCGAAACTGGGATCTCGCGCCAGTGGAGGCTGGCGGTTCATGACGCCCAGTCCTGTTTACAAACTTCTAGTCGCTTAGCGCTTTAGAGCTGCAGAGTGATGTCGCTGTACCAGGAACAGTTACCAAGCATGGAAACTGCAGTGGGGATTTATACCGCTTTTGCAATATTGTCGCCTAGTAACCAGACGAAATACGGGAAAGCAGGGATAACTGCAAACACCAAAGGGTTTTAACTAAAGACTGTGTTTCTCGAATGAAGCTACTATTCCGGGCAGAAATGTGTTCCATTTTCCTGCACACTTACATTTCCTTGCTTTTGACCTTTGGAAGAGAAGTCCTTTGCGATGTGAGACTATGTCACTTTTAGCCACGTTGTAATTACAGCTACATGAGCTCCCCCCCCCCCCAAAAAGTCTGCAGACACCGTGTCTGGCTTCGAGAGGAACTGTACTGTCAAACGACCGACAGAATTCCGTGTTCCCACGCAGCTTCGGCGCGGCAGTTGAGGGGCTGGCAACATGGCTACGCCGTCTCTAGTTGCTGCAGACAACCCTACGGTGGGCTCATGTGGACATTAAATGGACATTTGGGTTCCACAAAAGCCAGCCAGTTCTTTGGCAGGTGGCGCGACAACTAGCTTCTGCAGAAAGGCTCCACTCCATAGAAGTGGGTATGATGCATTTTATGTTCGTTGGAGCCAGCGGGACTACTGCCTTTACACAGCTGACGACGCATCCCGCAATACAAACATGACGGAGAAGTTGCCGCATATGCACGGCGACACAGTGCTGCGGTCGTTGAGAACAATTCACAGGCAAGTGGTAAAGCTGAGACGTGAGCCTCGTGTGGGGTGCGCATTATACCGGAACCGGGCTCAACCGAATTTAGTGCACACACCGACACCATCTTCCGTCTGTATGCGATCAGTACTTTCGGAGGGACGAATGGACGCGCTCCTCGTTATGCTTTTATTTTATGCACTGGGTGCAAGGAACGCAAGAGATGGCAGGGACTTGTGTTGCACTTCACGCGACCCAAAACTGGGTTTGTTCAGCAACATAGTGTTCAGCCCTTTGAAGCATATCGGTAACTATATGTACCACCTGCTTCAACATTAAAATAATACATTCTGACCACACAGTGTATCTGTGTGTTCCGTATGGTTCTCACAATAAACAGCGACTGTTTCCCTAAACAGCATTAACCGGTTGGGCTTTGTAGCGGAGACGTAATGTGTTTCCTGTGAGGTACGGACTGAATTGCTATATATTGTTACATATGGTTACATAAGAATGCGACGAAAAGGGAACCCAGTGCCTGGGGGTATAACCGGGCCACCCTGTTCCTGCGGAATATAAACACGGGGACCTGGCCCTCCAGGC